CGCGCCTACCTACAGCTGTGTTATGATTATATGCATGCATGGGCTGCGGCGAATCGGCGCGCGAAGCCCCGGCGGGACCGAAATGGGACCTTACGTGTTCCTGACCCGCCTAGCCTCCTGCCGCCTGCGTGTCCGTATCCCCGATTCCTCGCCAGCCCCTGCTTTCCCCCATGAGCCGTGCCTACCTACAGCTGCGTTATGATTATATGCATGCATGGGCTGCGGCGAATCGGCGCGCGAAGCCCCGGCGGGACCGAAATGGGACCTTACGTGTTCCTGACCCGCCTAGCCTCCTGCCGCCTGCGTGTCCGTATCCCCGATTCCTCGCCAGCCCCTGCTTTCCCCCATGAGCCGCGCCTACCTACAGCAGTGTTATGATTATATGCATGCATGGGCTGCGGCGAATCGGCGCGCGAAGCCCCGGCGGGACCGAAATGGGACCTTACGTGTTCCTGACCCGCCTAGCCTCCTGCCGCCTGCGTGTCCGTATCCCCGATTCCTCGCCAGCCCCTGCTTTCCCCCATGAGCCGCGCCTACCTACAGCAGTGTTATGATTATATGCATGCATGGGCTGCGGCGAATCGGCGCGCGAAGCCCCGGCGGGACCGAAATGGGACCTTACGTGTTCCTGACCTGCCTAGCCTCCTGCCGCCTGCGTGTCCGTATCCCCGATTCCTCGCCAGCCCCTGCTTTCCCCCATGAGCCGCGCCTACCTACAGCAGTGTTATGATTATATGCATGCATGGGCTGCGGGCGAATCGGCGCGCGAAGCCCCGGCGGGACCGAAATGGGACCTTACGTGTTCCTGACCCGCCTAGCCTCCTGCCGCCTGCGTGTCCGTATCCCCGATTCCTCGCCAGCCCCTGCTTTCCCCCATGAGCCGCGCCTACCTACAGCAGTGTTATGATTATATGCATGCATGGGCTGCGGCGAATCGGCGCGCGAAGCCCCGGCGGGACCGAAATGGGACCTTACGTGTTCCTGACCCGCCTAGCCTCCTGCCGCCTGCGTGTCCGTATCCCCGATTCCTCGCCAGCCCCTGCTTTCCCCCATGAGCCGCGCCTACCTACAGCAGTGTTATGATTATATGCATGCATGGGCTGCGGCGAATCGGCGCGCGAAGCCCCGGCGGGACCGAAATGGGACCTTACGTGTTCCTGACCCGCCTAGCCTCCTGCCGCCTGCGTGTCCGTATCCCCGATTCCTCGCCAGCCCCTGCTTTCCCCCATGCACCGTGCCTACCTACAGCTGCGTTATGATTATATGCATGCATGGGCTGCGGCGAATCGGCGCGCGAAGCCCCGGCGGGACCGAAATGGGACCCCTGGGACAGCCAAGAGTGTATCTGCATCACCAAGGCCACATTGCCGGATGGTTGCAAAGACTCGCCTCTCTGCTTCAAGAGCGTCATCTGTTTCCCGCTCCAAGGCTCTGTTTCCTGCTGCTAACGTTCAAAGGCGAGGTCCCCGACGGCCGCAAAACACTCTAAATCAATTATACCATCAAAATCTTTACTGCGTCTTCATTGTAAAAATTAGCTGGATCATAGCAAACAGGGCGTCTTCAGGGGTTGACAGTGGACATCTCTTGGCGTAGCCGCGCAAACTGTCATTGCATAAATGTCTTTATTCCCTTCATAATGCGAAGCAGGATAATTAGAAATATGCAAAGTTCGTTAAGCAGCCCCTCGCACAAATGTGTCCGGTCGTACTTCGCGAATAAACAGTTCGTACATCGTCCCAAAAGAGTCAGGAGCGAATTTTGCCGCGCAGATGCGCGCGTGCGATTCGCAAAATGCGCCTGTACAAGTGTATATAAATTTTCTTGGCGGAAAAGGACCAGGTGCGCCAGCGCGTTGCGCAGGTGGGCATGTTGGCCATAGCCGCACGCGGCATGCAGGCTGGACTATTGCGTGGATGCTTTGCAGTAACTAAAAGCACCGAAAGCATACGTCGTAGCTTGCAACTCTGGGCTCGTGAAACTGCCGCGGAAGATGAAGCGCTGGCGAAGAGGCAGCACCTTGTTCAGAGTAAAGTCAAATTACAAAGTTGCGCAAAGTATAACATACAGAGTAAACTTAATTAAACATAAGAACAGATAAGACGTTTAGAGCCTTGTCGGTGACAAGGACGCCGCTGTTGGCTTGGAACAGCTATTTGCTGTGCATAGGGACGTGCCCGCGTTAGCCGTGTTGCAACAGCTCAGGATGGATTTCAGCCAGCAACAGCCTCAAGAGCTGCTGCACAACCACCGGGAATGTCTTCAGTTGGGCACGTGTAGTTTTGGTCGGCGGGGTCGAGCAACGTACGCAATTGCAATGCGCACAGAAACCAAGGTGCAGCGTTCTGTAACATCGCCAACATATCCGGTACGCGGTGGCAGGCTTGCCGAGCACGAAATGAAGGGGGGGTCGCATCTCACCATTCAACTAAGCATGCATGTGCTCGGTTGAATGCTCGGTAGCGTGCGAGTTTACCCCTATCAGGATGTTTGTTTGCATATCCCTCCAAGCGGAGGGCTTGCACCTATGCTGATGTTCGTTCCAAGAAGTGAACTGAGGACTGATGCTACGGTGAAAGATTTGCACGTAAATTCGCCCGTGCAATGCAACGCCCTGTAACTCGCTTACGCTAATCTCACATTCCCAGCCTGGCCACATTCTCTTCCTCGCAAACGTACTTGGGCACCTTACAATCCAACACCATACGTGCTTTGAAAACGCGGGCAGCTGCTTCACAAGGACCCCCCTATTTGTTCTATTTTTTTCTATTTTTGGTTGGTTGCGTCCTGGACTGCGCGCGGTCCAGGACGCGGTCCAGGACGCCGGTACGGCAGTCCGGGGCCCCCATGATATCTATTAGGTAGGTGGGTATGTGTGTATTAGTAGTATGGATGCCAGACCGTTGTGTCTTGATGTGCTTGCAAGCGCAACTGTGCTCTGTCTTACTCGCAGCACCCTCGTACTCGTTTGTAGCGTTCGTAGCGCGCCTCACCAACTAAATTAACTAAGAACCGTTATCACGATTGCTACGGTGGCAACGGCCATAACCGCTGTAAAAGTTGCTTTACCAATATCAACTCCTGCATAACTGTATTAACCCCATGTTTTTGCCGGTGTGCGGACCGCGCTGCGGCGCGTGTGCTATCGCGCGCATGTGCATGGACGTTATGTTGTCGGTTGGGTTCAACGGCAATGCCTAATAACAGGTTTTGGTGGGTCAACGGTCGTATCGCGGGCTTTTGGAAGTCGTACAACACTTTGGACCTGCTGGTGCTACGGAATACGGGGCACATGGTGCCGCATGACAACCCACTGGTGAGTCGTACTATGTCGTACTCTGGGTTGTAGCTCGTGTACTGTTGATCAAAACTGTCAACCTGTATCTCCCATGCCCGTGCGTGTGCGTGTCGGTGCCCGTGTGTATGCGTGGATTCGTTTTTTAGATAAACACGCAGTCAATGGGCCGTACCGGCCTTCATCCGTACACACACCTGTTGCACACCTCGTACAACGTTCGCAACCTCAGATCGGACAGCTAATGCTGGAGCGCTGGGTGGAAACTGCCGTACGGGGTCTGTCGTACAATCGAGACGCCGACGTGACTCAGGAGGAGGAGGACGAGTACGCCAACCCCGATCAAGCTGAACACTCCACTTAAGAAAATGCCTATTTGGTTTGGTGCATGTGCAGTGATGTTCCTTCGCTTGTGTGGTTTTGGTTCCTTGGGTCTTAAGAGTAGTAGAGCTTGACGATATTTGGTAGGTGGATTGACAGCGTGCGATATTTCATGATGGCGGCTGCTTCCTTGCGCATGCAACTTCTCTCGGCAGTTGACGGATGGATAGATGGATGAATGAATAGCTAATGAATAGATAAATGAACGAATGGATGATGCAGCTTGCACATGTCGCGCAACGGCTTGCATTACGCTTGCCATCACGAAGTCACGCATGTCTGTATGTCTGTACATGAGTCTTTAGCATGTGTGTCTGTGTTTACGTCTGTATGTGTGTCTGTCCTGCGTCTACGTTTCGGACCATGTGCATGCGCCTTTGTGTATGGGTGGAGAGCAGGGCGGACGGCGGCAGTGGTACACTAACCCCTCAGGCGTTGGTGGGTAGGACGCGGGAGGGTGGGTACGTAGCTGCTGCTGGGGGGGGGGTGAGGGGGTAAATGCGGGAGGCTGATGGGGCGACTGACGGGTGGTTGGCGCGCGGTGGTGGTGGAGGGGGGTAGGGGTAGGGGTGGTAGTGGGTGAGAAGAATTAAGGATGTTGCGTCTTTCACGGTCTCAAGACATCATCGTATAGGGGACTACGACGACATCGGCCCACGGTGTCAGCTCAGCTTTGCAGTAAGATACGGTGCTGTCGGTTTGGAAGGCTTCTCCCCGCAAAAGGGAAGACGATCACTGACGTGCAACGGATGTGTTGAATATTGATTGAAGACATTGCCGTACATCTCGTGCATGCAGTACATGTGGAATGAGTGGTGTACGGGAGGGCAGGGGGATCTGGACTCTGTGGGGAGAGGGAGTTTTGTGCCGGACGAGCAAGTGTTTCTCGGAGCGAGGCTATAGCGCTGGGAAGGACGACGGCGGAGGCGGCACGCCACTCCGTCAGTATGTATGTATGTGTGACCCGTGGGTCGTGTTGCGGTAGGGAGGGCGGTGTGGCGATGTCCAACCTAAGTACCCAACACGACACGGTTGCAAAAGGGTGTTTAGTAACAGAGGAAGGGTACGGAAAAGGGAAGAGCAAACAGCAAAGGGAAGAGTAGACTGCAAAGGAGAGTTATTGATCAACAGGCTGTAAACGCACACAGACTGACAGACAGACAGGGAGGACCTGGAGATTAAGGCTTTATTGCTCAGTAAAAAGCTGGAGAAACGTATGAAGGCACAGTGTCAGACTAAGAAGGGCTGGAGGTCATCGAGATCGCTTAATGCGCAGTACTGTGCCGGAGTGCGGTACTATTGTGCTGTAAGGGTGTGGCATGCTTAATGGCGTTTGACCGTTGCTTGTTGTTGTTGTTGCTGCTGTTGTTGTTGCTGCCATTTGTCTGTAACTCGTTGGAGTGGTTATCCCGCATGTTTAGCACCTGTAGCTTCTTCCGTCCGTACGAATATTATTCTGATTCAGCAATCATTTCGGCAGCTGGCGCTCTGTTCTCCTTCCTGGTCTTCTAAAAGGTACTCTTGCTCGCATGCGCGTGCCTTTAATTTGTAGCTGCAACAGCAATAGCAGTAGCTACAGCAACGGGGCAATAATGTTGCAACCGCTACTTCGTCCTGTGTTACCAAAACAGCATTGCGCGTGGCTTCGTTGCCGCGCGCTCCTGCGGGTCGCTCAGGGGGTCGCCCAGGGTCGCGCTGCAGATGGTGGATGCTACGCGTCGGCAGGAGTGCCTTATGTTGGTTTTTGCCCCCCCATCCTCGTTGGTTTTTGGGCGAGGCCGCGGGCGCGAAGCGCCATTCGGGGGGCCGAGCCCCTAGGTTCACTGCAGTCAGCCTGTCAGTCAGTCATGGTGTAACATTTCATCTTATGTCACCCCGCTTTGATTTGCGACTGAAAGCTATTCAAATTCTCTATTGATGGACCAATATAATCAATTCAGATATATCTGTGGGCGAATCTAGCTTTCCAGGGTGAGATCAATTTACATAACTAAAGATTGCAGTAAAAGCTACTTCAATTCTTTATCGATTGGCCAAAGGAGAATATTCAGATACATCGGAACGCGAGTTTGACTTCCCCTCACGCCGCAGCCCTTGCCTCTGACGTCGTTGCATGTCCCTTACATTATAGATTTATAAGCAAACGGCATGATCCTTTATGGGCTGGTTCCTTCATGCCTCGGTAACTTTAGACCGACCCATGGCAACCCTCTAAGCACTCCCTCCTGGCGTCTCGCTCGTGCATGTTTAATTGTTGTCCTTCTTATTCTCTTCTTCATTTATCCAATCTAAGTTCAAACGAAGTGTGCCTTTGCGACACACCATCAGCTTTGCCGCTGCATTCCGACTTCAAATGTGCAATTGGAATGATCCCCGAATGCGTTCTGGCTGGGAGGGGACAACAATTGCAATGAAGCACGGGCACTTTGGCCCGCCTTGAACTGCCAGCCAGCAGACCGAAGGGCCGGCGTCGAACATGGATGCAACGGTAGTGCCACCTACGTACCGGGAAGTCCCGACTCATGGATTTGGCGCAGCAGCGGCAACATACGTTGCCGCAATGACACTCTTGCTTTGTGTGTATGCCATTCTATAAATTGCCACATCTCGAGAAGGCTAACTGTTCAGTCAATAATGATTATGCTATGGCGGCTGCGCGCTTGCGACGATCCAGACAGGTCTACGCCGCCGTTGCAAGTCTGCCGACCTTTATTGCTTAATAATTTTAATGACAGGTGTGTACTCCAAACGTGGCGGCGTTCTTGTGCTTGCATTCCTATGCCGTACGGACTGCCCTGCGATAAAACGGGGGTCAAGTGGCTGCACCGGGGCCGAGCCCCTTTTCGGCTTTGAAAAGCCGCACCCCTAGTCGCCGCGTCACCACGTAGGTATCGACAGACAGGGCAGCGGCGGATTTCGCTCGTGTACGCGCGCATGCGGTGTTGTTCACATGAGCAGTACTTTGAAATCCTCATGCAGATTTTTACGAACTGAAATAAAGTAAAGTCGATTTTTGTGCGAATTTATGGAATTTTGCAAGCCGCAGGTAAAAGCTGTTGGATTAAATCTTGGCCGTGCAACGTGGGCTGTCCGGTCATATTGCAGTTAAGGGACAACTTGTTTGTACCTAGTGAATTGAAGACAGGCGTCGCATACAGGCCTCTGCGAAATATTGTCTTCGCGTACTGCATCGCAGGATAGTCATTTCAAGGGAAATGAACTCATGCTTGCTCTAAGATCCATTGACGAAGTGTGAGCATGTTGAGAAATACGATTTGGCCAGAGTGCTTATCCTGGCTCCGTTCGTAGCGCGCCCCCTTACCTTCCATGGCCGTGGTCGATTCGTCTCCTAGCCGCTGGCCTTCCATAGCTGTCAAGAACATCGCAGACCAAAACACAAAACATATCCGTGTTCATTAAATATTCTTTTGTTGAGACATTTCCATCTGAAAGACTTCGACAGCACGACAGCGTGTGGTAACCAACCGTTGGTCGTTGCATGGGGTGACGGGCAAAGGGCCTGCCTAGCAAGAAGCGGCAGTGCATGGACCGGCAAGGCCTAACTGAGAACAAGCACAAGAAACTCTATGACAATAAAATGCCTGCAAGAGTAGAAGCGCACACTTAGGTTTCTCCTAACGGTCTTTGAGTACGAAACATTTTTGTGAGAGCAAAATGACAACGCTGCCTTTTAAGAAAACCCGATAGAAACTGATTCTGGTTCGTATGCGTTATAGAAATAGTATCTCATTGCTCAGCTTTCTTGGACAGGAGAAAAGCCCGCGCTTCCGCAAGCCCGACTTGCTGGCAGCTGAACTAGAGCATACTGCCTGTTGGGCAGGCATGAATGCAACAAGTATTGAAAAAATGGAAACTATGGATCAAACTGAAGCTTGGGCCAGAAACGCGGGTAGCACGTGGACCGAATCGCCAAGCACTTTACTTCCCAGTAATCAGCCAGCTGGTTTCAATGCTGGTTTGCTACTCGATATAAGTTCTCCATCATCCTGCTGCGATCACGGGCATGCCTTACAGCTGCCGGCCGCGCAGGCGCGCACGAGTACCACAACCACTACTACCACCGAGGCGCCGCAGCCGCCTGCGTCCTTGAGCCCTGCCCTCAACGCCACCGTCGCCGCCTCAACCTCTGTAAACGCTCCTCCTGCTCCTCTCCCTACCCCAATCGACCCGACGGCCACCACCCCCGCCAACCCCTGTCCATGTCCTGTCTATCCCAGCACGCATTCTCTTGGACCGCCTTTGCCGCCGAATTTCATAGCAGGTCCATCTTGCATACCGATCAGCGGTGGAAGCTGTAGCCGCAGTAGCGGCTGCATTATTGGTGGTGATGGTAGTGGAAGCGGCTGCGGCGCTGGCGCCCGGCGGCTGCACGCCGGCAGCATCCTTCTCACCCCAACAGCGGCAATTTTCATGCCGCTGTGCCAGCAGCAGCAACGCCAGCAACAGCAACAGCAGCAAGAACTGTCCATATGTGCGCCCCCGGCCCACGCCTGTGACAAGGCTCTCGCTATTGAACCCTTACCCTGCCAGGCGATGGGATGCGGAGTTAGGCCCTCGGAGATTTGTGGCGGCGCTGAAGTCCAGCAGATGGCTGCGGATATGGCCACAGAGGCCGGTGGGGGGGAGGTTGGCAACGGCCCTGGCGGCGGGGGCAGTGGCTATATTGAGGGTAGGGGCGATGGCAGGTCCGACGGCCAGCGAAATATGGTAGCGGCGGCAGCGGCAGTGGCAACAACTTTGCCCTCGGCTGCGTCGCCAGCGGCCGCAGAGGAACTGGTAGCGGATGATACTGCTGCTTGCGGGGCGCCCGCGGCAGTGGCAGCCGCACCAGCGGCGGAGGGCTTATGGCGGCAGCATGTTACAGCAACATCTACGCGTCATAAATACCATCAAGAGCTATCCGTTTCCACAGCAGCAACAGGGGGGATGCAAGGCCACTTACCTATGCTACTGCCACTGCAGCCGCCACAAGCAGCAGCAGGATCGGATGCGGCCTCCTGCGGTGGACGCATTTCTGCTACAGCCCCCACTGCAGCCGCTGCCGCGGTCATTCCCGCCGAAGCCATGGCCACCACGGAAAGCCGCATACCTGTCGCTGTCTTCCCTGTTCCTGCTGCCATCCCAGCAGATACTGCTACTGCCGGCCTTGCTGCTACTGCTCTTGCTGCTGCAGGAGGCAGTTCCAACAGCAGTAGCAGCAAAGCGCGCATCGACGGCGGATGTACCGCAGCTGGCGCCACCGCTACCGCCGGATCACCGTGTTCAGCGCTGGCTATTCGGAACGGCCCCGCCATGAAGGGGTTCCGGCGCCCAAGGCGGTCATCATCGCTAGCGGCGACGATGACGGCGTTTCTTAGAAGCACCGCAACAACTACCGCAACTGCTACAGAAGCGACGGCAGGTGCTACAGCAAAACTGATGCCGCTTTGCACGCCGGCTCCCGATGCCACTGTAGAGGAGGCAGCGGCACCACCGGTGCCGAGCACAGCCGATCCTGTTCCAGGTGGAGGGTTTTTTACTGACGCCGTTGTTGGCGTTAACCGGTGGAATGTTGTGGGGCCACCGACATCAGCACCTGGGGAGGTGGCGGCGGTGGTAGACTGGCAGGTATCCACTTTGCAACAGCTGCAACAGCAGTTACAACAGCAGCAGCGGTTGCTGCAGCAGCAGCAAAAACAATTGGAACAACATCTGCATCTGCAGCAGCGGATGCTGCTAATGCAGCAACAGCCCCTGCAACAGCCGCTGCTGCTGCCGCCACCGCCGCCGCAGCAGCAGCAACAACAACGACAAGAACAAGGACAGCAGCAGGATCGGGAACAAGAGCAGATGCTGGTGCTGCAACAGGGGCATCAGCAGTGCCAACCATCTTGCCCTGCGACACTGCCCACAATGACTGGTAACGAAGCTTCTGGCGGTGCAGCATGTGATGGCGCGCCGCGGTTTCCGAATCCACACTTCGCCGGGGATGATCGAACTAGCACTCTTACAGCAGCACGAGGAGGAGGAGGAGGAGGGGGCGGTGGGGACGCCAACGAAAGCAGTAACATTCGTTCTTCCGCCACACACAATCCCATGCCGAGCACGGCCTTAACTGGTGCCGCCGTCACGGCTGCGGCAGCTCCATCTTGGCCGCCCTTGCTGCATCAGCATCAGCAGCCGCCACATCAACAACAGCTGGCACAGATACCGCACCAACAGCAACAGCGGCAACAGCACCACCAGGTCTCATTCATCCAACAAGAACAACAGCCTTCTCAGAGCCAATATCCCCCTCAGTATCGGTACATGCAGCCACAGCCACAGCAGCAGTCGGAGCTCGAGGTTCAGGAGGCAGTAGTAGTACCATTGCCGGATGTAATGGTGGAGGAGGGGAGGATGGACCCAGATGGCCCTTTGCAGCACCAGCAACAACCGCAACCGCAACAACAAGAACAACCGCAACAACAACCGCAACCACAGCAGCAGCAGTCGGAGTTCCTGCAGCTGCATCAGGAGCAAATAGAGCGAGAGCGGCGCTCCTACACCTCCGAAACCTGTTTCACCCTTTGGAAGCAACTGGAGGCGTGTAGAAGCAATAGCGGCAGGAGCTGTCACGATAGTGGTGCAGCAAACTGCAGCAGCGGCGGCGGCGGCATCGGCATCGGCATCTGCGCCACCGCCGGTGCCTTTCACCACCATCACCACCACCAACAACAACATACTAGTGAACTGGCTACTGCTGCTACCGCTGCTACTGCTGGTGCCATAGCTGTGACTGGTGCTGCTGCTGCTGTTACCCAACAGGGGGATGTCGGCGGTCGATCGGATGTTGCATACGGCAACTACGGGAGCAATTTGCATGAACCGCCTGTTGAATGTACGGCACAAGGCTTTGACGGAAGCATGCTGCAGGTGACGCGCCAGGTAGGCAACGTACTGCAATACGACAAATAGGTGGGCGGCCGGGACTCTGTAGGAACGTCATGGCTCCTCCCAGATCGTCGTAACGCACGACGACTCAAAGTGTGGATGTCCTTGTGTACGGCAGCTTTCTCACGCAATTTTTTAGACGCACTCAGGACTGGAGTCGCTGCCGACTAATGAGAGCAGACGGCGATCTTGAAACATATTTTGTGTTGATGACAACGGAGGTGTTGCATTCTGTATTTGTAACTTTTATCTGTACTTAGCGCAATTTTAGGGTTTGGAGGTGTGTTGAGCACGAGCCACTGCGTCGCATACCTGTCCGTCGCTCAGTTATTTGTCCGCACTCTATTCTCTTCCCCCCCCCTCCGCGCATCATCCATGAAGTTTGTGAAGTTCGTGGTTGAGTTGTTGTTGGTAGAGTGTTGTTTCCGTCTCCGCCGGCCAAGCTATCCAACCGTCCTTCCATCCATCCATCCATCCATCCATCCACCACCCGTCAGGGCGTGTGGAGGCAGCGATCCGGCATCAGCAGTAGCAGCTACTTCGCTATCGGCAACAGCAGCAACACCAACATCACCAATAACAATAACAATGATGATCATGATGAATACCAGGACCCTCGGATCATCACTCTTGTGTCTACATCAGGAGCAGCCGCCGTGCCCGGCAGCGGTCCAAGCAACTTGTACGGCGGCCCTGGCGGTATTCACCATCATCAGGCCGCCCCGAAACCAACAGCTGTCGCAGAGTCCATAGATGCACAGGCTGTTACAGATTGCTGGCCTTCCGAACATTCGCAACAACATGTGCAGGATCACCGATGGCCACCGCCAGCAGCAGCAGCAGCAGGCGACGCCGTCTACGGCATTCCCAATGCACCTGGAGCCTTGTGGGCTTCATCCGTTGCGGCTGAACCTCCTGTAGCTGCTGAGCCGCTACCGCCGCTACCGCCGCCGCAGCAGCAGAAGGAGCAGCAGCAGCGACGGTGGGTACAGAGCCAGTGGCATCAGCAGCAGCAGCAGCCGCGGGAGCAGCCGCCTTATGGGCAGCAGAACCCACAGTTGATGCCTCTCCATCTCCTTGGGCCACCGGTCAGTCAGCAAACCACGTCTGATGACCGTGTAGAGCAAGCAACCGAAGCTGCTGGCCAGATCCCTCCTTTGGTGCCGGTTTACGGAAGTCACAACAGTGGCGGTAACAGCGGTACTTGGCCGCGTACTGTCAGCATCATCAAAAGCAGCAAAAGTGGCGGCGTTGGTGGGGTTGGGGTTGGCATGAGCAGCGTTACAAGTGGCAGCTGCAGCGCCAGCGCCAGTCGCAGTGGCAGCTTAGCCAACCGGGGTACCAGCTGCGGCGGCGGCAGCGGCACCAGCAGCCTGAGGGGAGCAGAGGGAACGGCCGGCGATGGCGCATACCTTGGCGACGCTGCTCGTTACGGTGGTAATGGTGACGAAGCTGCCGGGCACGTCCACCGCACAGCTTGGCCTGCTGCAGGTGCCAGCGCTGGCGGTGGTGCTGATTACTTAAGATCTGCGGAGGAGGGAGGAGGATGGACAGCCGTTGCCGGCACCGCCGGCGCCGGCGCCAGTGCCGCAGCTTGCACAGTAGACGGTGGCCATCAGCCACCGTACTACTGTGACCATCAAGGCAGACAACAGCCGACAACTGCGCATCAGCTTGTCGTACAAGAGGCGGTCTGCTTGCGCCGCCACGAGGAATTCCCCCAGACACGAGAATGGCACCAACGAAACCGACAAGAACAGCTGCAGCAGCAGCAGCAGCAGCAGGAGCAGCAAGAACAGGAGCAGCAGCAGCAACAGCTGCAGTGCGAGGGGGCCCGGCAATGGCACTTTCCATACGGACGAAAGGTACAACACTTGCAGCAAGAACAGCAAGAGTGGCAGCAGCCGCAGCAGCCGCAGCAGGTGCCCCATCAAATGCAGCGACATGTGCGACAGCAGCAGTCACAGCAGCTAGACTGTCAGCGGCAGCAGTACCGCCATTGTTTCGACCAAGGGCAGCAGCAGCCGCTGGAGCAGCAGCAGCAGCAGCCGCTGCTGCCGCCGCCGCAGCAGCAGGCCGTCGCACCATTCTATGATCACCATCACCAACAGCAGCTGCTGCATGTGCTGCGACCTACCCAAAATACCAAGCAGCAGCAGCATCAGTGGCCGCAGCTGCCTCATTATCATCATTATCATCAACAGCAACAGCAGCACAATCACCACTACCACCAGCAGCAACAGCTGGAGCAATGGCGGCAAAGGGAAGGGGCTGGATGGAAGCGGCCCCCACCGTCACTAACGCCAACAGATATGGCCATTGCTGGTGTCTATGCAGGCAAATATGCAACAATGAGTAATAACTGCAATGCGGGCAATGGTGGTGGTGTCGATGGCGGCGCGGACAGGCCATCCGGCCTTCCACTTGGCGCTGCGTGCTTTTGGAAATAATGACCCCTTGGACTGTGGGGTTAGGCTATCCTAGGACCGCAACATCCACAGCGACAAGACTGCTACATGCAGCAGCAGCGCTAGCAGTTGCAGTAGCAGTTGCCATAGTAACCGTCATACCAGGGTTCCCTCCCCACTATAAAGCTGCTGCTGCTGCTGCTGCCACACACATGCATACACATGCACGCGCACACAGTTGGCTACTGCCATGCAAAACGACACCACAGCTGTTTCCCTTGCTGCTGCTGCTGCTGCTGCTGCTGCCGCCAAAAATATTAACGAAGAACCTAGGTAACGTAGTGAACAGGTTGATGTGTTTTGGGGTGTAAAATCCGAGTGTAACCGGAAAGATGCCCGTACCCACTTGGTGGCGAGGGGTGAAGGAGGCCCGGTAGCAGGTCATGCCCTGTGATGTTGATGGACGGATGGATGGCTGTGATGGCCTGATGGCGGATTTCTTTCGCTGGCTGGGATGCAGCTTCTGAAGCTTCAGGTCATCATTCCGGAAAATGGTGACAATTATTAGCTGGCCAGGTGTGTGTTTGGATGCCATGAGAATGAGGAAGAGGAACTGCTCGCGGTTGGAAACCCTAATCATCCTCAAATAGAAATAGATGTACGACAGTCATCCCGGTATGCGTTGTGTTGCTGTCGATTGGCAGCAACGGACCCCATGAGAAGGGGGTATGTTTTTATCTGCATGCGCGCGCGTGTGTGAGCAAAAGCGTGCGTGCGACATGTGCGTGTTCGGATTTTTAGCTTTACTTGAAATTGCATACAGGTTGGTGGATGGATGTGTTGATGGCACTCACGTGCCTTCAACACGTGCGTTTTTCGTGCTGAAGAACGAACGTGCGCCTGCAAACGAGAAGCATAAGCAGGCGAGGGGATTGGGGTTGTGTTGTGTGGACAAGCGAGTTTACTTCCCACCATATGCATCTGCGTATCACACATGCAGTACCATCCTCTGGCTGCTGCTGTTGCTGCTCCCTGCAGCCGTCGTCGGCGCAACCAAATGTTTTCCTTGCCTTTCTTCGATACACGTGTTTTTTTGTGTGTGTGTTTGTGCGGTGGCGGAGGCGGGGAGGGCCGGGGCTTACCTACCAGCACGCAGGCAACCCACGCAGTGAGGGATCCAACTTGGATCCAGATCTGGATCCAGGTCAATGCGTCACATCATTCAGCATCGGGCATCATCGTGCACAAACGCACCACAGGCACGAGCACATTTTCGACCGCACCCCTCTTGCTGGGCACCGGCACCGGCTCATCCTTTGTTCATGGAGGGTTCCATGGCACGGCCGATCTCGACCCCGCTGGGTGCTTGTTGCACTGCAACAATGACAACATCAGCAGCAGCAGCAACAACAACAACGGGGTCAGGGCCCCCGGTGCTCTCGGTCCTTTCTCGGTCGAGCCGCCCACAGTGTAACACCCCATCAACAATAACGAATTTGCGGCCATCAGCGTGACGTGTCGCTGGTGATGCAATAGCTTGTAAAAGCTATACGTGACGTGGCAGTGATCGTACACACCAAGGCAGCTTAGGATCGCCGGCTTAGTTGCCGGATAGCCGCCTGCTGTTGATTTGTTTCTGACCGTCATAATGATCTTTAGCGGTGGCGTCAGGCATATGCGCACACGTCGCGCGCATACGGAACTAGAAGATTTGTCTCACATAGTAACTTTAACTGTATAGTCAAAAAGCCCGCATAGATGCGCAAATGCACGCACACGGACATTTAGTTGGGCATGCAGCAAGTATACAGCTGCTGCTGCTGTGGTGGTGGTGGTGGTGGTGCCGCCCGCTGGGTGGATTAAAGCGCTACCTATCAGCGGAGCCATCAGCAGAAGAGTGTATGATGAAATATGATATCCGATTTCCGATTTTTTGTTTGTTACGTGGTTGGTTGTTGGCTCGTAATGGTCTCATGTGACGTGAAGGTATATTGTGGTTGCGACTGAAGTATTGGAAAATGCGCGATGATTATGCGCGATGATGACGTACGTCGCGTAGGGAGGGCCCTTGGGCTTTTTTCGGGGGCTGTTAGCTCCGGGGTGACGTATATATATATGATATGTATGTATGTTGTTACAGGGTGGTTAACTTCGCCAGCGGCCCCCTTTCCCGGGGCAGTCCCTGCTCTCCCCTGCTAGAGGGGCACCCTAATCCGTCACCCCATCCGACTTCAGAATGTATTCGTTGGGTTCGGCAACTCACCACCAGCATCCAACCAAATCTAGCGGATCAACGGCGCATCAACTTAGTTCCTCGTCAGCTCGCAAGTTGATATCATCACGTCCTACACCGTCCATATGATGGGGGGCCACCTCCCATTTCATCACTCCTCAAACACCCGAGGAGCCGGCAGGCGGATTTCAACCCGGGTCGACTGGGTCGACTGGGAGCAGAAGTCAGGCCTTAACCTCTGCCAGCCGCCTGCCGCCTGATGTATGTATGTATGTATGTACGTACGTATGTGTGTAGTCATGCAGCTGGCAGGCTAACGTTGTCGCATCGCATGTTTAGCGTGCGTTAAATGCTTTTGCTGCTTGCTGGGATATCTTAACGAGCTACTTGGCTTTTTCGCAGCTGGCTGCGTGCTAGCCAGCAAACAAGTCTATGGCCTTCTGTGGGTCGGTATACGGGGGGGGGGATTGAGCAGGTTTTTGCTCTTTGTGTGTATTTCATAATCTGCATCTGTGCGTGAACAGGCTTAGATGCGATGTACATATATATATGCCATGCGTTAGTTACTTGGTGGTGATTGCATCTTTATATCGGCGTATGGAACTCGAAGGTTGGTCGGTTAACGTACGGCTGTTTGCGATTAGGATTCCGAATCCGTTTTTAGTTGCTCCATGCGTTTGATATGTACGGCGACGCATGTACGCTTTTGGATGAGCATTGTTTTTTTAGTAAAAGATAAATTATACGCCATCATGGGTTTGCCTGGCAGCGGTGTTTGGCCATGATCTTGGCGATAAGCAAATTTAGGATGATTAAGCGCGAGATGCCATGAGTGATGGAACCTGCTAACGGCATACACGAGCTTTTAGCGTGATTCCTTTCCGGGGCGGCCTGCACGTCACGTCAGGGACACGGCCGCAGCATAACCACATCACATAGAACATAAATAATTATATTATTTCTTTTTTATATAGAAATATATTGGCAGATGAAATCGAAGGCGAACATGTAGAGAGGATGCTACCTCAATCCGTACGACAGCACGCAAGGTCTGGATGTGTTTTCGAAAGTGTTAGTTACTTGCGGTACACAGTTTGTTGGCGGCTTGTATGAGAGCCCTAACCTCACATATCCGTTGCAATAGAGGCGCGCACGCTGTCCTGGTCTATAATGACGACTTATTCTCCCGCCGTGCCGCCGACCTTATCAATGCAACATTGTGAGTCACTGTGAGTCCGGTAGCGGGCCGTTTTTGCAGCCTTTGAGACCTGAAGGGCGGCGCAGCAGTGGCGGGGGCGGCAGTGGGGCAGTTTGGCGCCCTGCCAGCCCCCGATTCGCCAAGGTCTTCCAGCTTTCAATTCTATTATCGTGTGATAAGTTTGTCTTTTCTGGTTTTGTATGTGTGGCTGGGCCGTGGGGCAGCGGTTGATGTCGTGAAGTGTGATGTCGTTGTGGGCCTGAACTCGCTGTTTTTGGTGCGTGTGTGCCGCACACGATTTTGGGGTTGTGGCGGCAGCTGCTGTACGGACAGCATGCAAGGAGGTTCCCGCTAACAGCGCGCGCGCAGCGTAATGGATTTTGCCAGGGAGGAAATGGGTCGTGGGGCTTAAATATCTACAGGGATAAGGGAAGTACATTTGGCATGTACATTGCGCAGCTGCGTACATATATATATTATACACGCGCGTCAGCGTACGACTGTATGTATGAGGAGGGGATCACCTGCATGTACATCTTTTTACATGTTTTCTTAAAAGTCTGGTCTTATTCGGGGCCTGTCTACCAATCTATCAAGTTCAGCCAGTGGCGGTTTACCTTATATCCTGCGGATTTATCTTTCCCCACAGCCATCCACATAGTAGTTCCGCATCAACAAGTGTCGCTTCAAGGGGGCACTACCAAGCGCAAGGACCCAGGACTGCTGAACCTGGACTGAATCAAACCCACTCAATCCTTTTCCTCAACTTGGATGACTCCTATGCAAAAGGCTCAACATCGGCCTTCATTTCTGCTGCTTTCCAGCTTGCCCATGTTTTCTGCGCGGCATAAGTACTCGCACATTCGGTCAGACTCTTTTGCGGTTTGTTACTTGAACGCGGCGGCAGGAAAGCAGCGACTAGAGCTTCTGAAACTGGTTCTTAACCGTCGCCTTTCGGCTGGTCAGTTAGTTAGTTAGCCCCGGCGACACCGATCACCCTGGACATCCTGTCAGTACTCATAGCTATTCACTTCTGTGCTTCAGTCGGCATTCTGCTTACACTATCAGAAGCTGTGTACTGGTCCCACCTCCCAGCCCGCCCTATCAGCAATCCTGCTGCAGTATTACCCCGTGCGGGAACAGACCGAAAGGCTGGATGGGGGCCCGGGCAGGCGCTCGGGCACCACACGGCACGCGCAGCAGCTCACACACAGCGTCCCGTCTGCTGCTGCTGAGAGTCCTCTGTCGCGTGCCCAATTGTGAGGCCACCACAGCGGCCCTTTCTTGCCTTCCTGAGAGGAGGTCGGTTTGCTCGCGCGGGCGCATGTTTGATTCACCACACGGGGGACTATCTGAATTGGCGTAAAAAGGCGGTAATAATGCTGTTTTTTAATGCCGTGTGTGCCCTGTGTATGACCGGGCCCCCAGGGTCGCGCCAGACTGCGGCGTCGTGCGCTTGTCGCGGTCGTTGCGTGACCGCTTGTTCTTGTTATTACGTTTCAGGTCAGTAAGCGGGGAGCTCTGCAATGAAAGCCCGGATGTCCAAACCAGCAGAATGCGGCTTGCCGTTTTCCAGCATCGAAGCCAGCAACGGCTGCCTTGTCATAACAG